AATGGATGAGGCATGCAAATGGGTGAGGCTTCCAAATGGGTGAGGCATAGAAATGGGTTAGGAATGCAAATGTGGGGGGGATGCAAATTTGTGAGGCATGCAAATTGGTGACGCATGCAAATGGGTGACGCATGCAAATGGGTGAGACATGCAAACGGGTGAGGCATGCAAATGGGTGAGGCATTTAAATGGTCCACGAGATTGCGTCGTAGTGTGGGAACACATGCTGGTGACGCTGCCCAAGGGGAAAGCTGGGCACGGAACTGTGGAAGAGCCCTTTGCGTATGTTGTGAAACTAGAGTTTGCTCCTAGTACAGGGATTGGTGTCTTGTATGGCTTGAAGGAGTGTTCTTCCTTGAGAACTTTGTGAGTGGCCCCACTGTCGAGGGTGAACTCTATTGTGGCTGAGGTGCTTTGGGAGCTGGAACACTGCAAAGTCGTCTCATTAATCATGGCAGTGCTAGGGAATAACATGTTGAGGCGCACATCAGCAGGGGCAGCCACAGCATCCTGCACGGATTCTTGCGCTTCGATGTGATTGACTTGGCAAGGAGCATGATTGACCATCCCGCTTGGCCACTTCGAAGCGGTCCTATTGACGACATACCACTCGTCATCCTTCTTCTTAAAGCAGGAGGCAAGGGTATGGCTGGTGCCGCCAGACATCTGGCTGGCACGAGGGCCGTGCTTGATAACGTAGGGACATGGGGGGAAGCGGCTGCGCTGGAATGGTGCCGAAGCGGCATAGGCATGAGGCACGGGAGCACGGATTGCATTGGCCTTGGCTTGAGCGCTGCTGTCCTTTTCGGCAGAAAGGAGTGCGGATGAGACCTTGGCAAATGTGAGGTCCGCACACGCAAGGCCCAAGAGCATCTTGCGTGTAACTTTGTATGCCGGAGTGAGGCCGACTAGGAGAGCGGCTGCAGGGGCTTGCTCGGGGAAGACTATCCCCAACTGCTTGAGTTCACCATGAATGGACTGCACCTTGGTGACATAGTCCGCCATGCCTGACGAGTCCTCGAGACGCACTTGGAACATGCTGGGGATGAGTATAGCAACTCCCACTGCAGTCTTGTTCAGGAAGCGGTCTTCGAGGTAGAGCCAAATGGCGTTGGCAGACAGGTAGTTGTGGTAGGTTTCGATAAGTTCGGGAGGGGTGGTGCCCATGAAGACACTAATGACCGCGCCATCGGCCTTCTCCCAATTCTTGTACTTGAGCAGTGCAGCAGCATAAACTGTTTCGGCAGCGGCATTAGCTGGATCAGCGGACCTCTCGGGATTAGGAGGCTCTTTGCTATCACTGATGTTGAGAAGGACATTGTTCTAAACCCTTGCTTCTTCCCATGACTATCCGATGTCGTAGAGTGAAAGTCTTAATTGACGGTGGCGCCTCTTCAAAGTTTATCTCCTTCCCTCTAGTTTCGAATCTTTCCCTTCCAACCTAACCTAAATCCCTACCTCAGAGTGTGTTGATGGCAAGTGGAACTTCAATCTCATGTGGACGAATACCTTTCCCTGTTCTTTGTACCATCGGACCCTACAAAACTATCATTCAATTTCTGCAAGCAACCCTTGGAGACCATGAAATCATTGTTGGGCATGATTGACTGTCTATCGCTAATCCCAAGATTGATTGGACCCTTGGAAATTTTACCATCTCTAACTCTGGAAGAGACATATTTTAATTACCCTTTCTTCCTCTCCTTCCATACCCACTTTATGTAACCTTCTTTCAGCAAGATATTTAAAGAAGTCTTTAAAAGACTCAAGTGCTCAATTCTTTCTTTGTCTTTTGAAGAAAACTTGTGAAATTCCTTCTCCCTCTTCCCCTTCCAAGGCTTCCGAGTTCCCTTCTGAAAATCATCAGGTCTTGGATGACTTCAAAGACTTATTTCCCTAAGACCTTCCCTCTGCTATTCCTCCCAAGCGAGCCATCGATCACCGCATCACTCTTCTGCCTCGCCCAGAACCTACCGTTCGTGCTACCTATCGGATGAGTTCTGCTGAGCTGCAATAAGTCCAGAAGCAGTTGGAAGAGCTTCTTGAGAAAGGCTTCATCCCAGCCAGCTCCTCTCCCTATGCAGAACGAATTCTTTTCATGAAACAAAGGATGGTAGCATGCGGATGTGCATCGACTATCGTGCACTCAACAAGATTACCATCAAGAACCGCTACCCTCTGTCACGTGTGGAAGAACTCTTTGATCAACTCGGCGAAGCCACAATTTTCATGTCGCTGACGAAGACATCAAGAGAACTGCATTCAAAACTCGGTATGGGCATTTCGAATTTCTCGTTCTTCCTTTTGGACTGACCAATGCCCGTGCCACTTTCATGTGCTTGATGCACAACGTCTTTGTGATTTCTTGGACCGGTTTGTCATAATCTTCATTGATGACATTCTGATCCATAGAAAATCATTGAAAGAACATGCTGAGCATCTAAGACAGGTGTTCACTCGACTTCGTGAGCACTGTCTCTTCGTCAAACACAGCAAGGAGAGGAGGTGAGGGCAAGGAGAGGAGGAGCTGAGGGCAAGGAGAGGAGGAGATGAGGGCAAGGAGGGGAGGATTTTGCAAAGTGTTCGATTCCTTTCTTAGGCCATGTCATCTCACACAACCAGCTTGCCATGGATCCCTTCAAACTCAAAGCCGTCCAGGACTGGAAACCCCCAACTTCTCTGAAAGAAGTACAAGCCTTCCTTGGCCTTGCTAACTACTACCGCAAATTCACCGGCCACTTTGCTGCAATCACCTCCCCCCTATCCAATCTCCTCTGCAAGAATGAAGGATTCCATTGGGATTCGGACCAGCAAAAGCCTTTGACTCTATCAAGTGTGAACTAACCTCTTATCCTACCCTAGTCCTACCCAACCCTTCCCACCCTGATGTGATATGGACAGATGCCTCTCAGGTTGCAACGGGTGCAATCCTTTGTCAAGATCAAGGGCATGGCCTCCAGCCCATTGCTTTCGAATCTCGGAAGCTCAAGCCTGCTAAGTGCAACTATTCTACTCATGATCGTGAGGTGCTGGCCATCGTCCATGCAATCAAGAAGTGGCGTTGCTATGTCCATATGCAACCCGTCACTGTTCTTACTGACCACTGCACCCTGCAATACCTGAAGACACAACCCCATCTCACACCTAGATAGGCCCGATGGATGGAGTATCAGGAATAGTACGTACCTGAGCTGAAAATCGAGTACCGCGCTGGCCGCCTCAAGCCTGCTGATTCTCTAACCCGGCCTCCGCAATCTCAGGTCACCACCATCGGCAGCGTTACATGAGATGAAAGCTTCATCGGCAAGTTCATCAAAGGGTATCGTCGCGACCCTTTCTATCTCAATCTTGCTGCTAACGATCAATCCGTCCGCTATGAATCTCCTTTTTGGTATAAGGCAGATTCCCAAGTCATCTGCGTTCCAGCAAAACCTAAGGTGCAAAGAACCTAAGGTACTCAACGTGCCCTTTCCAACTACTTTGCAGCTTCCCAAGCACCGAGGACGGTGCTTGTTGCAGAGGGGAGTAATGTAACAAGACGCCGACGAACTCATGTAACGAAGTTTCGCCAGCTCAACAAAATCAAATTCTATGTTGAAACCCAAACTCGAAATACACCCTTGGGGAATTCGACGGTTAAATCCAACCTCGGATTGCTCAACCCTTCAATCAGAGTTTCCAACCTTGGGAACAACTACAGAGAGCACGCAACCCAGCCAAGCAGCGCAGCAGAAAAATCGACAGCGCACCTAGCGGAAAACAACTACAGCCATGGTTTCTTCCAGCACAGCTATATCTCATCATTTCTACGAACGTCGTCAGCAACAGCAGTACAAGGAAGACTATGCTAGGATGCAATAGTTGTTAAAAATAGATTGCAAATCCCACTTTTGTATTTGTACTTTTATATCATAGTTTAGGTTATGAATGTTCTAGTGGGTTGGGGTTTACTCACAAATCCCAACCTCACCCAATTGTGATCCCCCCAATCTCCAAAGCGAATATTCGGGCTACACGTAGCGCCGTTCAAAGAGCTGCTGTCGCTGCACATTGTGCGCCTGCTGCTATCGCTCCCGATGCTGTTCCCGCACCTGCCCCCGCTACGGGTGATCCTACCCCTTCCAATGATGCTGCTGCCACTGCTGCCCCTACCGCTGTTATGTATCCTTCTGCTGCGAATGATGCAGCTATGCATCGGATGGTTACGGAATGTGGTGCTGGCAGTGCCGACGTTCGTACAGCCGGTGCTACTGCCGCAGATGCTACCGCCCCTGGTTCTGGCGGTTCTGCTACCACTGTCCCCGCTGCTCCCCCTCCACGTCGGTCCCTTCCGCCGTCCCTGCGGTCGCGACTGGCACCGCTGCTCTTGCAGATGGACCTGTTGCCGCCGCGCCCGTGCCCACTGCTCTTGTCCGTGACCCAGTCGGTATCCCTGCTCCGCAACAAGAATCGCTTCAATCGGAGCAAGAACGCGAAAGCTATGAAGATTCAAAGTTCATGAGCTTGCGTTACAATTGCGGCGGTTACAAAGTGAAGTTGTGGGGTGACTCTATATGGAGTTGGGACCTTTGGGGGTTTGGGAAATTTGTCACTCACTGTAACAGCTGCAAATTGGTTGGGAACAACCAAGCTAGGTTGGCAAGGGTGGCCAACTTGGATGGATTGGTTGGGAAGGGACAAAGGTCAAAGTTGAGGTTCCTATAGGGAGGGAATCTTTGTGCTTATGGGGTTTCCTTGGTTGGGGACTCTCTTGGGACCTTCCCTCTCATCCCTCTCTTCCTATCCCAACCTTTCTCTTGCTCCTTCTAATTCCTTGTGAGATTCTTGAACTTTGATTGAACTCTTGAGATTGAGTTAAGTTCTCCTCCTACAGCTTACCCCCTAGTGCGTCGAAAGCCATAGCGTCGCGAATACTTCATCAATCAACGTGATTCAAATTGGGAACGGTAGCTGAGATTAAGAGCTACAACATATCCAAGTTTCGCGACATTCCAACGGCTAGGTTTTTGTCGACGTCGTTTCTTGTGAAGACGACTTTTCTGTCCAGAATTTCGGATATATATTTTGAGTAATTCTAGCTCCTAAGTTCACCTAGACTCCGTCCTTAATCCTAACAAGTGGTATCAGAGCCATATTAAGGACATTGAGAGGAGTCTACAGAAGTGTGAAGACCCTTCTAGACCCACCATGGCCTGTGGGTGTGCCTAAGTGGTGTTCTAAAGGTTGGATGTGTCTTCCGCTAAGGGGAAACTCTGCCGAAATTTCGTGGACGCCGATACTTGTGAAAATATCGAGGGAGCTGAGTGTGGACAGCAAAGGGGAGCTGAAATTCGTCATTTCTCAAGGAGAAGATGAATGAGAGAGGAGGAGATGCTAATGGAAGAGGAGCTGTAGCTGAGAAGACAAGTGAGCCGCCGCCATCAAAAGTTGAAGCTTTGGATGGCTCCAACTATGAGGAATGGAGCGGACGGATGAGGAGTGCCTTCAAACGCTACAAGCTACTGAAGATTGCTGTTGGGGAAGAGAAGATGCCGGAAGAAGGCGAAGCACGCGAACGGTGGATTGAGAAAAGCGCGGTGCTTTTCGACCTCATCCTTCAATCGGTCAACAAGGAGATGTTCGAGCACATCAAGGATCTTGTGGAAGCGGATGATTCGGGTCCAAGGGCGTGGAAACTACTACGTGATGTGATTCAGCCCAACACTCTCCCAATGGTGATCGTGCTCGAGAAGGAACTTGCTGCCATCTCCATGCGACCAGGGGACGATGTGAAGCCGGTCCTTGACAAGATCAAGGACACCTATGCAAGGATGGCAGCAGCGGGCAGTAGTGTATCTCAGCTGCAGCAGTGCACCAAGATCATCTCGGTGTTGGACAACTCTTGGGACAACCTCATCCCCACCCTCAACTCTCAGCAAGATCAATGGACACCTGAGTGGCTAAGGCAGCAGATTCTGCAGGAGGACTTCCGCAGACGCCATGTGGGAGGCGGTGCTGCCACTAAGACTGCTGAGGGGTATGGAGCTGCAGGGCGCGGCAGAGGAAGAGGGGGTTGGAGAGGCCGAGGCCGTGGGAGAAGCTTTGGCAGAGGTAGAGGCCGAGGTGACTATAATGAGGGGCATGGGAGCTCCAGTGGCAGGGGGAGTACCAGAATGGAGGGCACCTGCTGGTACTGCAAGAAGGTCGGGCATCCTTGGTTCAAGTGCTTCAGCAGGCCGGAGGGATGGGCACCTCCAGGCATGAAGCCGCCCAGTGGTGAACGCGCACAAGGTGGTGCTGTGCAAGGCTCAGGTGCACAAGGTGAAGGTGCACAAGGTAATGCCTATCCTGGGATGTTTCTTATGGTTGAGGATGTGCATGGGCATGAGGGTGATGTGGGATCTGTGGGAAAGGTTGTGATGCACCCTCTCACGCACTGGGTGATTGATTCAGGTTGCACCAGTCACATGACCCCACGGGCAGATTTGCTTGATGAGGTAAAACCCCCTGGGAAGATCAAGTATGTGGCAGCAGCGTCAGGTGCTTTGCTCCCTGTCATTGGTGTTGGAAATGCCAAGGTTAAGGGAGCTAATGGGGAGCTTGTGGGGCTTGGGAATGTTCTGCTGGTTGAAGGCTTGTCTGCTAACCTTCTCTCTGTGCGACGACTGCAGAAGAGCAAGGCCGAAGTGACCTTTGGACCAACCAGCTGCCATGCTAAGCTTGGGAAGAAGGTGCTGTGGAGTCTGGAAGAGGAGACCAGCTGCATCAAGGACCTGTGGCAGCTGCCCATCATCCCATGGAATGGGAAGACTCCAACAGCAGCAACGGCAGCAACGGCAAAGGCAACAGCAGGAGGAGATGCAACTGCACCAACTGATGGGGTCCTGGAAGCAGTCAAGAAAGTGCACCAGCAGCAGACACATAGTGAGGTGCTTGCTGGTGTGGATGCGAGTGCGGCATGGGCTAAGGCTTCATCAAGGAGTGGAGAGGCCGATTGGGAGACATGGCATGAGAGGTTGTGTCATGTGAACTTCCCTATGCTGCAGAAGTTGGTGAAGAATGGGAGCCTGAAGGGCTTGGAGGTGAAAGGGGAAGTGAAGGAGATTGGGAGCTGCCCTACATGCTTGGAGACCAAGTTCTCCAAGTTCCCCTTCAACAGTGCTACAGGACCAGCCAAGACCCCACTTGCACTTGTGCACATGGATGTGGTGGGGCCCACAAGAGCCCCTTCCCTCTCAGGTAGCCGCTATTTCTTGACAATTGTGGATGACCACACTCGGGCAGTGTGGGTTTACCCTTTGAAGAGCAAGGGGGAGGTGGCAGCGGCTGTCCTTAAGGAGTGGATGCCGAGAGCTCAGAGGGAATGCGGATACAAGGTGAAGGTGATCCGTAGTGACAATGGTGGGGAGTTCATTGGAGCTGATTTTGAGGGGGAGTTGAAGAGGAAGGGGATCCAGCATCAACTGACAGTGCCCTACAACCCGCAGCAGAATGGCGTGGCTGAGAGATTCAACAGGACCCTGCAGGAGGGGGCACGCACTCTCCTTGGGCGTGCAGGGCTGCCTGATCCGTTTTGGGTGTCTGCACTGAGGCAGGTCGCCCTTGTGAAGAACAGGGTGCTGGCTACAGTTGGGGATAAGGAGTGGATCCCATATACCAAGTGGTATGGGAGTGCTCCAGCTGTGAACATGCTGAGGGCATTTGGGTGCATGGTGGTGTTTGATGTGCCTAAGGAGAAAAGGGGGAAGTTGGAGGCTTCTGGAAGATGGGGTGTGCACTTGGGGATTGCAAAGGATCACAAGGGTTGGCTGCTATGGGACTTGACCACCCAGAAGCTGACAGTGTCAAGGGATGTGAAGTTTCTGGAGTCCCTGTACTACAAGGAATGGAAGCAGCAGCAACAGAAGCTTCCATCTACACCGCTCATTGTGGAGGCAGACGAGGTGCAGCAGCCTTCAAGACAGGTGGAGGTTGCAGTGTCAGAGGAGGAGATGTCTGGGGTGACTGAGGAAGGGGGAGCAGCTGAAGTAGAGCAGCAGCAGCAGCAGCAGCATGAGTCTCCATCTCGAGTTCCACACCCGCCTGAGCGACCTAGGAGGGATGTGCGCCCTCCTGTGAGGCTGACCTATGGGGGAAGAGGCAAGCCAAATGTGGTGCAGGCTGGGAGTGTGGTTGAGCAGATTGAGGAAGATGAGATCGCTCACTGCTACTGGGCACCAATCCCTGAGCCCAAGACTCGAGAAGAGGCCTTGAATGGACCAAATGGGGAGAAGTGGAAGGCGAGTGAGGATGAGGAGTTCGGGTCCCTGATTGAAAACGAGACATGGGACCTGTGTGACTTGCCTCCTGGGAAGAAGGCAATCACTTCCAAGATGATCTACAGGCACAAGTATGGACCTGAAGGGGAGCTGACCCGCTACAAGTCTAGGCTTGTGGCAAGGGGGTTTCAGCAGACAAAGGGGAAGGACTATGATGAGGTGTTTGCTCCTGTGGGGAAAGGAACAACATTGAGGGTGCTATTGGCGATGGCTGCACTCCTGGGATGGAAGATACGGCAGATGGACATTGTGACTGCCTTTCTGAATGGGATCATTCTGGAGGAGGTGTACATGAAGCAGCCAGAGGGGCTGGATGATGGGAGCGGCAGGGTCTGCAGGCTGAAGAAGGCCATCTATGGCCTTAAGCAGGCGCCTCGTGCATGGTATCACAAGTTGGAGGAGGCGCTGTTGGCTGGGGGTTTCAAGAAGAGTGAGTGTGACCCCAGCCTGTTCCTGCTGCAGGAGAAGGATGAAATCCTCATGCTCTTGGTGTACGTGGATGATATCCTTCTCTTTTCTGCATCAACTGCTTTGTTGGACAGCGCAGAGCAGATGCTGGAGATGCAGTTCAAGTGCTCCAAGATGGGTGAGGTGAAGTACTACCTGGGGATGCATGTGGAGAGAGATGTGGAGAAGGGTGTGCTGAGGTTGCACCAGAGGAAGTACTGTGAGGGGCTGGCTGAGAAGTATGGGCTGCAAGATGGGGGAAAGCCAGCAACACCACTACCTTCAGGGTTTACTGTGGAGCCATGTGCTGATGAGGAGGTAGTGGATGAGAGTGACAGGAAGCTGTTTCATTCGATGGTTGGGTCACTAAATTATGCTGCAAATCATACACGGCCTGACATTGCATTTGCTACATCACGGTTAGCTAGTGTGGTCTCACGCCCTAGTCATGAGCAGCTGGAAGCGGCCAAGAGGTTGGTCCGCTATGTGAGTGCTACGGCATCAGTGGGATTGGAGTACAGTGGAGTGAGGCAGCGGTTGCAGAGAGGTGCTGCAGATGTGAAGAGTGGAAAGATGCTCTTGAGTTGCTATACTGACGCTAGCTTCAACTCAGTGAAAGCGGATGGCACCAGCATTGGGGGTTATGTGTGCTTGCTAGGAGGTGGTGCTGTGAGCTGGCGCAGCAAGAAGCAGAATGAGGTGGGATTGTCCTCATGTGACGCTAGCTCCTAAGTTCACCTAGACTCCGTCCTTAATTCTAACAGGGTGCTGGTGCTCCTGCCACGACCCAAGCTACCACTGGCCCCTTTGATGCAACAGATGGTGACTGTGCTCCAGCCCCCCCCCTCCCTGTCGCCGTTGCTGTTGAGGACGCGGGTGAGGAAGATGATGGGGACTGGGAGGAGGGGGAAAACAGTGAGGAGAAGGAGGAGGACGGCGAGGACGAGGAGGAGAATGAGCCGATCCGGCATCGTGGTCGGCGGCGGCAAGGGGTCGTAGGGGTGAGGGATGGGGGAGAAGGTGGTGGCGGAGAAGGTGGTGGGGGAGAGAGGGGTGCTGGAGAAGGTGGTGTGGGAGAGGGGGGTGCTGGAGGTGGGGGTGATTTTGACGATGAGGAGGTGGAGGAGATTCTCGGATGGCAGATGAGAGCGAGACGGCAGCGGGCGCCGCCAGTGGTGGGACCCAGGTAGGGGAAGAACAGCGGGTTGCATCGTTGGACGATTGCCATCCCCACGGCAACTGGAGTTCTGGAGGCAGCAGGTGGGGCGGCGGGTGGTTGTCCCTCAGTGCACATTCTGGTGGATGGAACACACGCCAACACTTCCCCACGCTCCGAACATCCACCTCCCAAGGTACCCGTTCCTAATGGCTCGGCCCATCGTGGAGCCAGGGAGCTGGGAGGCCCCATATCCACCGCTGCGGGACCCCATGCACCCGTACGAGGCTCCTTGCACACCGAGGAACACGAGGGCGACACCACAGACTCTCATGTGTACTCAGCAGAGTGTGCTGACCATCCACGCGGAGGCCCTGCGCGATCCAGAGGCCGCTCATCGTGCATACCACAACGCTGTATGGGTACGTGGTGGAAACCCACGAGGCCTACCAGGTTGTCGTGGCAGAGGCTCAGGCGCTGTTGGTTGTTGGTCGCCCTTCGGTGTACGTGAGCCTGCTGCAGGGCGATCTGGAAGTGCGTGGAGTCGGTGTAGGAGTCAGGAGAGGCGGGGGGGGGGGGGGGGTCAAATAGGCGGAAGGGGTGGGAGAAGGGGGGCGGTCAAGAGTGGGGCAGCACGTACAGGACGTGGGGAGTTGGGCCGGGGGCGGTGGGACGGAGCTGTGTGCATGCCTGGCGGAACTGGTGATGGCATAACATTCGGCCAGGGGCTTGGCCCCGGACGGGTGGCGCCACAAATAGAGTGGGCTCGCACCGCGCACGTGCCACTGCATTGGGTAGGGGGGCTTTTGGACTACCCACTGCTATGTGCCGTGCACGGATGCGGTGCATGGAGACAACAGTAGGAACACACTATTGGTGCACTGCTGGGATGTACTTCTGAATAGCGAAAGACCAGGAGGTATCGTAGGAGCAAGCATGTATAGTATAGATCAGGATACAAGGAGTGGAGCTGCTACTGAGACTAGACCAAGCTGAGTACAGAACCTCTGATGGTCACGAAGGCGCTAGTGCCTTGGTGATGGTATCAGCGGTAATGGCCTCTGAGGCCAACTGTACCATACGAGCCTGGCCGTGCTGCTGCAACTCACGAAGGAAGAAGTACCACAGCTGGATATGCTTTGCCCTGCCCTCAAGTCGAGCCTCCTCACACCGTAGGATTATGGCCTTGTTGTCAGCAAACAAGACCAAGGCAGACCTAGGCGGCTCACCTAAGTCAATGAGTTAGAACGACTGCCAGCGGAGCTCCTGAGCGGCCATGGCCCCAGCGTAGATCTCTGCCTCACTGTTGGACGGAGCTACAGACGACGACAAAGTGGACCTCCAAGAGACTGCACTGGCACCAAGGCTAAAATAGTAGCCCTGAGACGACCTGAGCATCCCGAAGTCATCAGCCCACGACGCTTCAATGTGTCCAGTGAGTACCACAGGCTCCCGTACACCTAGCACAAGCCCCAGTCCTGATGTACTTGCCAGATCCCACAGTACCCTCTCGATAGCCGACCTGTGGAATGGTCGGTGCCGGCCTGTCGCAACAAAGCGACACAGGAGACTGAGAGGTACGCTAGAGCTGGTCAAGTGCACGTCATCAAGTACATGAGGCAACCCACCAGCTCTAATATGGACCACTAGCCTCGACCGGCTCAGCTGGAATAGGGGTGGGCTTGTGATCTTGTGATCCACAGGCATAGGGGTGGGCTGTGCTGAGGAGAACTAGAGCCTGAACCTATGGAGGATCTGCAGCACCATATGGGACTAGGAGAGTGGGATCGTGCAAGCGACATGGTTACGAGAGATCTCCAAGCCCAAAATAGCGCCTCAGCTCCCCCAGGTCAGTGCAGGTGTGCCTTCTAAGGAACTCGGCCTTCACTGAGGCCAGTGCGTCTCTGTCAAGAGTAGCAAAGATAAGATTGTCTACATACACTACAGATGTAGAACGGAGTCTGACCCATGCAAACAAAGTGAGAGGGGTCAGCAGGGGACGGGAAGAACTGCAGCTCAACAAGTGTGGTGCAGAGCGTGTCGTGCTACTCACGGGGTGCCTGAAACAAACCGTGGACAGGGCGGCGCAGGCTCCACTAGGTCCCAGGTGCGAAGGACCTAGAGAAGCCTAGTGGGCACCGGAGGAAGATCTGCTTGTGCAGACTACCCTGCAGCAAGGCAGTGGAGAAGTCGAGCGAGTGAATCTCGTAGTCACTCTGTGCGGTTACGTGAAGGAGCACAAGAAAAGTAGTCATCTTTGGGGTCGGGAAGAAGTTCTGGAAGAAGTACACACCCTCTCGCCTTGACCTTCGGCGACTCTTCAAATGCGCGCTTTACCCTGTAGATGCACATCCAATCAACCCCATCACCACACAGCCATGATGTCGTCTTCAATGAGACACACCCCTTCCACTCTGCGACCACGGGCGAGCCTCCTCCACCTCCCCCGATACTTGTATGGGCAGACTTCAATGCCCCACCTCTGGCCGCTGCCCCTTCTCCGGGGCCTGCTCCATCTGGCGTGTCTCACCCGGCCTCCCCTGTTATCCTCCGCAGCGGCACCTCCTCTGCTCCACTTTCCCCTCGCGTCGAGCCCAGCTCACCAGTCTCCTACCGGAGGCACCCAGTTCCTCCGATCCCACTGCAACCGCCTTCATCTCTGGTCTCTAGTCGCACTCGTTCAAAGGGACCGGCTCGCCTCTCACCTGGGGACCAGCCGCCTTCTCCATCCGGTGTTCGATCACCCCGCCTCCTCCTGCTCGGGGTGACCCTGCCCCGGTGTTCGTTCACCCCACCCCGTCCCCTCCATCCGTATTCCCCCCCGTGCACTTCTGGAGGACAGGCAGGAGGAGCTATTTGACCTTCACGCGGTCTGCCAAAATCTCTCTCACATCTTCCTAGACATTACTGACTGCCCTTCCCTCAACTTCACCGAGAACCCAACCATTCGGCCTCCTCGCACAAAAGAGGAAGCAATAAAGAGGAAGCAATCTTATAAGAAGGACTGGAAGGCAGCAACGGATGTGGAGAACGAGGCGTTCATTTGCAGCAACTTTTTTACGATATCGTTTCCCTTTCCGGCGTCAACATCGTCGGCAAAAATTGGATCTTCCAAGTCAAACAACTCCCAGGCAAAGCTCCATTGTTCAAGGCACGCTACTTGGCGAAGGGTTTCACCTAGAAGGAGTCTCTCGACTTCTTTGAAACCTTCTTGCCCACGGCCAAGCTTCTGACTGTGGGCACTCTCCTTAATATAGCCGCTTGCGGCAACTTCAAGATCAAGTCCATGGACGCCTCCTCAGAGGCCAGCTCAAGGAGGATGTTCACGTGAAACGCCCACCGGGGTTTCCTTGCACTTACCCTGCCAACACAGTGTGGATGCTGAAGCGCCCAGTGTATAGCCTCAAGCAGGCTCCTCGTGCGTGGCACAACAAGGTGAAGGAAGTCCTCCTCGTACTTGACTTCCATCCCTCCGCCTCAGATTCCAGTCTTTTTGTTCGTCACTCCTCCGAGCCCTCCTATGTCCTCGTCTACGTTGACGACTTCATTCTAGCCGCCAGAGATCCAGCCGACATGGCAGCTGTCCAGTCTGCTCTCAGCTGCGCCCTTCTCATAAAGGATCTTGGTGACCTCAAGAACTACTTGGGGGTGGAGATCACTTGTGATCGCCAGGCTCGCACGATCACCCTCTCCCAGGAGTCCTACATTGACAACCTTCTGAAGCTTTTCGACAAGGACTCCAGTAACTCTATCTCCACTCCACTCCCACTATAGCATCAACTCATGGCCCCTCCGATTCCTTCTCCAGACGCCTGCAAGGACCCGTACCCTGAGCTAGTCGGTTCACTCTGTATGCCATGATGTGCACTCGATCAGACTTGGCTTACCCGGTTAGTGTTATAATCACAATAGGCTCAGATGTGCCTAAAATCAGAGATAGAGAGCACAGTCGGATTTCCGTCAGACGGCTTCAAATATTGATAACGATCTGGTCGCTAAATCAAACTGTGATCTGTAAGTTGGATCTGGAGCGCGTTGCTGTCGCCTATCAGCAGCAAGTTGAATCATAACATTCCATGAAGATTTGACGACGCTATGGCGGTTTGACTGGCAGGAGGTACAGTAGCCACTATAGTCTTAGGAGTTCAAACTTAGCAAGAAGAGTTCGAGAGGGAGATGGTTCCCAGCCTCTACATATCCCAAGAGCCGAGGTCCAGGTTGGTGGTACACCACCACAGAGTCCCCAACCATGAAGAGTCTCGAAACCAACCCTCCAAGGAGCTACACCAAGTGAAATGTAACATTACACGAAGTAGCGTTACTATTTTCACTATTTAATATTTATCCGTGTCCCTTGGGCTTGAAATCTTGAGCTCTTGGTCTTGGTTCTGCAAGATAAATTCTTCTTGAGTTGATGGGGGCTTGCTGCACACACCTGCGATACGATGGACACTTCACACTCGACAAAAATAGAAAAAACACATGCGAGACACAAACGACGACTTGAAATGCGAGTTGTAAAAACTTGCTAATGTCTTGACCGACACAAACCATATAGTGACACACCATTCAAACACACACACAAGGACTGGATAGCAATGACATAGACTCACAATTTATTCCATGCCATGCATGCACACACACAAACAAGGACGACAAGCCGAGTGCAAGCCATAGGGTTGCACCAACAGTTAGTGTCCTCTATCGGTACGTCACCCCCGGATGCTACACTGCCTCCCATTGGTCTGCAGCCAAGAGGGTCCTCCGCTATCTAGAATCCACCGAGTCTCACATCTTCACTTTCCGTGGTACCTCTCCTGTCAAGCTTGAGGTATACACAGACTCCTCATGGGCCGATGACCAGACTGACAGACGCTCCTTCCAAGGGTAGGTAGCGGAGTCATCAGCTGGCGCTCCACTCGGTCCTCTGCAGTCTCCCTGTCGTCACACGAGGCTGAGCTCTACGCAGGCACAATGGCTGCTCAAGAGGCACGCTGGCCTTTCTCCTCGCTGAGTTAGGCTACCCCTAGCAGACGCCCATCATGTGGTGTGACGACCTGAGCGCCATTCACCTCACCAAGGATTCTTCGTACCACTCTCACACCAAGCACATCGAACTTCGTCATTTCTTCATCCGAGATCTTGTTCAGTGTGACCAGCTCACGGTAGGGTATATCGCCTCAGATTGCAGTCTTGCCGACCTCTTTACCATGGCTCTCGGCAAGGCTGTCCACCAGTGACTTCTCCGTTCCATGGGGCTATGTGCTCATTGACCAGGTTTGCAGTCTATGGGGGTGTATTAGAAAGTGATTGCAAATCTCACTTTTCTATTTGTAATTTTATATCCTAGTTTAGATTAGGAATGTTCTAGTGGGTTGGGATGTACTCACAAATTCCCAACCTCACCCAACTGTGGTCCCCCCAATCTCCAGTTACCCAATTGGAGATTTCAAAGATCCCTATGGGGATTCCCTCCGATTCCCCCCTTCATCCATTCTCTCTCACCTTGCCATGTACCTATAGAGCCTTGGGCTCCTTACCTAATTAATAAATTCAGCTCTACTTCTTACAGGTTTCAGTGGCACCACCATTGAGGACGAATTCCAAAGTGGGAGATGGGGGAGTGGAGGGGGAGGTGGCGTGGACAAGGAAGAAGGGAACGGATGTGATACGGAGGAGGTAGGAGTGAGGCATTTACGGGTGTTGGTATATGTGAGTGGCAGATGGGGAAGGAGAGGGAAGGGAGCCCAAAGGAGGGGAGGCATAGGGGCAGGAAGAGGCATGGGAAGCCATAGCTGCAACGACGTAACCATGCTGCAGCTGCTGGGGCCGCACCAGCTGTTGCTACAGCTGCCTTGCCGCCAGTGCCCAACGATGGCTGTGCCTGAAGCTGCTGCTGCTGCTGCTGCTGCTGCTGCTGCTGCTGCTGCTGCTGCTGCTGCTGCTGCTGCTGCTGCTGCTGCTGCTGCTGCTGTGGTGTTGTTGCTGCAGGAACTGCTGGTAAATACGGAACTGCTGTTATTGGAGCATTTGCTGCTGTTGGATGGGAGAGGAGGACCAGCGAGGAGCAGTAGGGAAGCCATGCAGCGGAGACAGGATTTGGGACCGGAAGGAGCAGAGGTGGATGAATCCGCTCGTACAGAGGGGAGCGGCAGAAGCGGCGGGATAACCTGTGGCAGTGAAAGAGCACGGCAGCGATGGGTGGATCTCTGCTTGGTGGACCTGTGACGGCTTGAGAATGGCGGCTGCGGGTGGATACGCGGCGGCACGGAGGTGAAACGACGGCGGGTAGACTCGCGGCGGATCGAAGGGGATGGCGGGTGGATCCACGGTGGCTTGAGAGTGGCGGTGGCGGGTGGACCTGCGGCAGCATGGAAGTTGATCGACTTCAGATGGAACCGCAGGGGCTCCTAAGGGGGAGGAAGGGTCGGCAACTGCAAACAGAAAAGAAAAAAAAGCGGGTCGATTTCAGTGTGCGGAATCGATTCGAAGCCAAAAAATGCCAAATCGATACAAAAACTATGTGATACTGCATAATGGATGCAATGTACCGCACCCTAATTGCACAATTCTTGGTATATAAGCACGAGGAGCTGCATGAGCAGGCTGGTATGTCAGCGAACGCGAGCCGAAAAGCTTGTGGGACAATTCCTTTGCCTCCTAACATGGTGTGTGGTTTTCCAATGCTGGCCTGCCCATACGCAAACACACAACTCTGAGAGCTCAACACAACTGCTGGGTCGGGGAACTGGGAATAGAAGTCAATTTGAAAGAGGCTGTCATATGATGCCCAGCTTACCTTGTATCCATCCAGCACACGTTTGACAAGTCCAGACACATCTTTGAACACGGTGGCCTAACTTGATCCAGGTTCAAAGACCTTGTCATACGCAGATTCTTCATTGCTCTCTGAGTAGGCATGCATGACGAATGCCAAATGGGACAGTCAAGTGGCAAACACCCTGCTACCTAGCTAGATACCCTATGGCCGAGGTATCCCAAGGCCTGACTTTACACGGAAGAGCTCACCTCATAACCGAACTACATATGCTACGGGCTGTATGTGACCAAACTGTCTCTTGAACATTCCTTGAACAAGGATGTACAGCCAAGTCACAACAAACTACATACCCTGAACAGTAATATTTAGCCAAGGTGCACTGCCTTGCTATATACAAGGACATACCGTGAAGCATTATCTTGTTTTCAGTGTTGACTCCAGGAATCCATATATCCATGGCTGGGTCTAACCTCCTTTCCTCCTCACTCCCTGCTAGTCCCCATATGCATTTACACGGTTTCAATGAGAACCAGAGACAACTTCCAAAGAATGTACCATCAACAGGTGGCGGGTTTCCGTTGATTCTTTCTATTCCTTTTATCGGCACTTGGTGCTGATGGTCAAGAGTTGCTGCATCTCAGCCAACTCAGAGTTTCCATTCTAGAAACCAGCTCTCCTCTTGCTTTCTTCTGAGTGTAGGCGCAAGCAAGAGGGATAGCAGCAAGCGTACATACAGCTTACTGGCTACTACAAGGGCGTACCTCTTGCAGTTGCATGATCTCTACTTCGCCCCCCTTTTCCTCCTCCTCTTGCTCCAGCACGGCAACTCTCTCCCATTCCCTCCTCAACCCTAGCTCCAGAGCGGTCACTCTTCCCTTTCCCGTCTCAGCTCTAGTTCAAGAAACGTAACTCTCAAGCTCCCCCCTTTCAGCTTCAGTTCCAGTGCCGCATCTCGTCCACACCCCATACTCCATCCCTTCCTCTCCTCTGCTGCTGCTGCCCGCTGCTCCTGCAAGCCGCTGATCACCTTCAATGCATCTGCCAATGCCACCAAAGTGGATGAAGTGGGGGCAACGGAATGGGAAGCTAGGAGGGGTGTGGTGGTTCCCTCCAGCGAGCCCCACCTCTGCTTGCAGCAAGTGACTGCTGCCAGCCATAACTTAGACAAAGGGATGGATTTAGTGTGTGTGGGAAGGAGTGGCTAGGGGTACAGGGAGAATTGTAGCAAGAAATGAAGCAAGGAACAAGACAATAAAATGCGAAAACCATCCATCCAGCGTGTGCAGGATCCCGCCACCCTACCATACGACACACCCTCTACCCCCACCCTTCGCAGCCAGCCGCCGACTGCCATCTGGCTGCACTGCCTTTGCCTGGCTAAACCCACCGGCACATCCACACCACAAGCATCATCAATGTCACCATCACCGCCAACACCGCCACCAGATTCATCAGTGACACCACCGGCAATTGAAGTAGAACCAGCAGCAGCAACTGTTGTTCTGTGTAATGCAATTGCACGAGTAATTGCTGATGCGTCCTCCGTGTTGAAATTTATAGCGGATGGTGAACCATCAATATCACAGGAGACCATGCGATGCATAGGATGCTGTTAATTGCTGCGTAGCAGTAGTACAATCGATGAGTCCTATATAAGAAATGCACCTAGGCAACGAGAGGGGAGCGAAGGAGACAAAGGTGGAAATCTGACTGATTGGGGTGAATCACACCACGACAAGGCAACGAGTTTGGGACACAGAAAAGCGGAGTATTTAAAATAGGGCTAGAGGGGACAGGGATACAGGGGATACGATTGAGTGAGCACAAGTAACAATTTTACAAGCGCTTTTTGAAATAACTTACATGGAAATGACGAGTGTTTCAGGAAGAATCTTCAGAGGATCCTCCACGCACCCTGAAGAAGCGATCCGGCCACCATGCGTACGCCAAGGCGGTTGCCGAGGTGCGGATAGCTGTACATGGCGATTCGCAGCCATGGCGGAGTGCCGGTCGCCCAGATATGATGGACGCTGTTCTATACATAAACTCAGAGCCGCTTGAGTTTGACCTTGCAGCATGGCTCGAAACCATAGATCCACCCTAGCAAAAAGAAGGCAAGGCGGTGAATGAGGAACTGGCAATCGCAGAGGCCGAAGTGCAGGTCACAGCGGAGTTTGGTGTGTTTAAGATAGCGGAAGAACACCTACGAGGAAAAGTGGAGCTGGAACAGCGGCGACGTAGAGAGGCCTTAAGGGAGGTGGCATGGTGCCGGCATGGTACCGAAGTCTATGTCAGTGAAGGGGAGGATTAGGAGGAGGAGGAGGAGGAGGAGGAGGAGGAGGAGGAGGAGGAGGAGGAGGAGGAGGAGGAGGAGGAGGAGGAGGAGGAGGAGGAGGAGGAGGAGGAGGAGGAGGAGGATTAGGAGGAGGAGGAGGAGGAGGAGGAGGAGGAGGAGGAGGAGGAGGAGGAGGAGGAGGAGGAGGAGGAGGAGGAGGAGGAGGAGGAGGAGGTGGTGGTGGTGGTGGTGGTGGAGGTGGTGGAGGTGGACGAGGAGGCGGAAGGGGAGGGTAGCGCCTTTTTGGTGTCGCCGACTACGGCAGAGGGGGTACTCTACTACATGGAGGTTGAGGAAACACGGTCGTAAGCAGAAGACGAGGAGATGCTTTGGGAGCTATCAGAGGAGGAGAAGGAGCTACTAATGGCCGATGCGGAGGCGGAGAGGAAACAAACCTAGTATGCAGAGAAAAATATGGGCCTTTCTCCACTAGCGATCGTATTGCAAAAGACTGTCGGGGATAGAGTGAAAAGAGTCTGAAATTATTCTCGGGAGAGGAGAGTGGATGCAGAGAGCGTGGGCAAGGAGGAGAGCTTTGGCAGATGCTCGGAAAATGGGGGTATTTTGAGGTGGACGCAAACGGTCGATTGGCTATGTGTCCTATCGTCTCCCTTAAGGCGTGGTACTTCGACAAAACAAGGCCAAGTTGCGCAACTCGGGAAGCGCAATTCGCGAAATCAGTCGCAGCGAGCGCAACCCGATACTGGAACCTCGGATTTCGCTTTTTGGGTGGAAATCGCAACTCATCTGGAACATCGGGTTGCACTCGAAGAATGCAAAGTGCCTGACATGAAATGCGAAACCTGTTACCAGATTCCTGGAGCGAAATCAATATTGCCATTTTGATTTGCGGCGCACACTCACCATGGGAACATACAGAACCTCCGGGCCCGTGTTTGGTGGAGGTTCCTCACCGCTTAATGGCATTGCCTTTCCCTCGACTCCTTGTCTTCATTGCATCCCTCCTCCAGTACAGAATGCCCCCTCGCTGATGCTGTCCCCCCTTCCTCCTCCTCCGACTCGGGTCTGCTTGCCATTAGATCTGCAGCCGTTTCGTCATCTGCCCCTGCATAGGTGTCTTCGTACAAGATACAGTAGTAGACTGATGCCTCATATGCGAGTTTTTGGGAAATCTTGGCAGAAGGTTGTGGTTTGGGATTAAATAACAGAGCGGCGTTTGTACGACAGTCGGCGAGCGGATAGCCAAGCGTATAGGAGCACTTCGTTCCTCTCACCTTCTTCGAGCAATTTCTTGAAGGCCTTGTCCTGCCGTGCTCCTCCCCATCCCACCCCACATGCTCTTGTTATCCTGCCATTCCTGCTAGCCTTGTAAGGAGGGAACTGGTAATGCAGGCCAGCAAAGGACTGGTCGGCCACGTCGATCAGATCCAACAGTGAGTCTGGCGCACCTCCGACCCGGCCGAGAAAATATTTTCCGTGCACTTTCAAGTGCTGGTCAACAACCGGCTCTACCCTCTCCCCTCCCGAACCTGGGTCGTAAAGGCCGACACACCAGTTAGTGTCGCTGTTCTGTGGGGGGAGATAGCCACGTGGTAAACACTCGACTGGACGGGGGCCTCATCTCCAAACGGAAGTTTGCCCTCACCTGCATTGGGGGCGGCCCACATAAGCCTGCGTGTCAATGGTGCGTTCGCCTCTATGTAGAGATACAGTAGGTCCGAGTTGGATGTGACTCCCTCGCCGGCCGCCATGGCTGATAGGCTGGCAAGCAAGAAGATCAGGGGAGCCCGCATATCTCAATGTACATGGTGCCCAGCGTTGCTATGAAGTTTGCACAGGGCAATGAGTGGCGGCTCAAGTTTCGCCTTCCTGGCCGCAGCTTGATTCTCTGTGGTATCTTCACACCTGTGGTTCGGCACATGTACAAAGGGGTGCAGCACAAGTAGTTTATGTTGTTCGCCATGTGGCAACATCAAAAGTGTTTATGACCCCTGCCCACGAGGGTACGACTTGGGGGGGCTGTTAGTCATTCATCTTTATTGAGTGTCAAATCCTCAGCCATGCGACCGGCTGATTGCTCCTACGCCGATTACAACACCAACAATCGGGCCCACACCATTGTTCGGAGAACATGAACGCAAGGTGGCTATCTACTTGTGTTAGGCTACAGTAGAGTGTCTGGGCCCCCTCCCTTGTGGCTCTGAACACACACCTTTGGGTCTGGTTTCCATCTGAATCAAAGGTTTGAAAGGTTGGTGATTGACGAGCTGCCACCGATGCAGTGGTGGTCGATGTTCCCTAGTGTTCATGGGTGTGGTGATTAAAAAGGGCATGGTGGTTGACACGCCTGCTCGACCTTTTGGACCAGCTAGACCCCTGCTGGGGCAGCATAGAGTACTTCCCTATGGCTGAGTATGGGAAGCGTGGTGCTGGGCGCAGCGGGATGTTAGAAACAGAAAAGTAGGTTTCTTCATGAGGGAAGGAGCATTAAATAGCAAGGGAAAGAGGCTAGGAAGGGGAGAGTGGAAGAGAAGTTTGAAGGGAAGGGGAGGTAAGGGCCAATCACGAGGGGAGGAAAGAGCCAAATGTGGTGGACCACAAGTGGCTTGACCAGCCCAACTTGTGGTGCCCCCACAATTGTGGTCCTTGGTGTTGAGGGCTCCAACCACAAGTGGGATGGATTGACACCCCACACAAGTGTACACCCAATTTTGGGTGTACTCGCAACATACACAAATAACCTAGCAGGGTATGATCCAATACGGAATGCTGGACGGATGGGAGTGCGGAGAGAATGAGGGTGCTGGGAGAATAGGTGTGCGTTGGGAATAAGTGTGCAGGGGGTGAGTGTGTGTCGTCGGTGATAAGGAGTGCTGGGAGAACGAGAATGCTCGGAGAATAGGCGTGTGTGGAGAATAATTGTGCAAGGGGAGAATGGGTGTGATGGGAGTGTGTGTGCGCTGGGAGAATCGGGATGCTGGGCGTTTAGGAGAGCAGGGAGAAAGGGGGTGCTGGGAGTATGGGGGTGCTGGGAGAATGAGGGTGCTGGGAGAATGAGGGTGTTGGGAGGATGGGAGTGCTAGGAGAACGGGAGTGCTGGGAGAATGAGGGTGCTGGGAGAACGGGAGTGCTGGGAGAACGGGAGTGCTAGGAGAACGGGAGTGCTGGGAGAACGGGGGTGCTGGGAGAATGAGGGTGTTGGGAGAATCAGAGTGCTGGGAGAATGGGAGTGCTGGGAGGATGGGAGTGCTGGGAGAATGGGGGTGCTGGGAGAATGAGGGTGCTGGGATAATGAGGGTGCTGGGAGAATGCGAGTGCTGGGAGAACGAGGGTGCCGGGAGAATGAAGGTGCTGGGAGAATGTGAGTGCTCGGAGAATGGGGGTGCTGGGAGAATGGGAGTGCTGGGAGAATGGGGGTTCTGGGAGAATGGGGGTGCTGGGAGAATGGGAGTGCTGGGAGAATGAGGGTGCTGGAAGAATGGGGGTGCTGGGAGAATGAGGGTGCTGGGAGAATGGGAGTGCTCGGAGAATAGGATGTTTGAAATAGATTGCAAATCCCACTTTTGTATTTGTATTTTTATATCCTAGTTTAGGTTAGGAATGTTCTAGTGGGTTGGGGTGTACTCACAAATCCCAACCTCACCCAATTGTGATCCCCCCAATCTCCAATTACCCAATTGGAGATTCCGGAGATCCCAATGGGAATTCCCTTTGCTTCCCCCTTCATCCATTCTCTCTCACCTTTGCCATGTACTTATGAAGCCTTGGGCTCTTTACCAATCAATCCTTTCAGCTCTATTTCTTACATGGTATCTGAGTGACCTATCCACACACGCGGATCAAGGTCCTGATCTTAACGTGCCCGCGTTGCGCGCACCTTATCGTCTCAACATTCATCTCGAGTCATCGGAATTTTTTTTGTGCTCCACTCTGCAGTTGCGCCTCTCATCGTCGACCGCCTTGGCAAAAATCAAGCGGCAATGGCTTACTCAACCACTTCACTCGCCAACCCGATTCCGCTCCTTCGTCTCGAGCCGGACGGTACGTGCTCCAACTACAAGGCTTGGCGCTATGTTGTCGACAAGCACCTCCTCAGTCGCGAGGTGAAGGGGCTTGAGCTCACCGACGTCCTTCTCAACATCGGTGACGGCAAAGAGCCTCCTAAACCCGAGAGGTCCGCCGATTCCAGATAATGCTGCTGCCGAAGCAGTTTATGCTGCTGCGATGCTCAAGTACAAGAATTGGGAGAAGGCCGATGGCGCGGTCATAAGTGTCTTCATGGGCACCAACCCTCCCGAACTCGTCGAAACATACCACAACTACACGTCTGCCAACGCCATTGAGCTCTACCTCGAAGACCGCTTCCTGAACAAGACTGCAGTGGGAGTTGCTATACTCATCCCCAACATATACCTAGTGCGGCTCGAGGACTAGCTAGGCATGGCGTACAATGTCACCAAGGTGCAGTCCATTCATGGTGAACTCAAGCAATTGGGGATAGTCTTCCCCGAGCAAGCCCCTGCAGCCGCTCTCCTAGTCGGCCTCACTCCAGCATACGAAGTCACACGCAAGATGCTCTTGGGCCTTGCTCCTACGGACCTCACATTTGCCAAGGTCTCATCCGCGCTCCTTTCTGTCGAAAAGGAAAACTGCACTCAAGCCAAGGCCATTGCAATTCGCGCTCCCGTGCCTCATGCCTATGCCCCTTCGGCACCATTCCAATGCAACTGCTTCACCCCATTTCTCTACGTTATCAAGCACGGCCCTCATACCAGCCAGGTTTGTGGGGGCACAAAACACGCCCTTGCCTCCTGCTTTAAGAAGAAGGATGATGAGTGGTATGCCGTCAATGGGACCGCCTCGAAGCCGCCGAGCTAGATGGTCAATCGTGCTCCTAGCCAAGTCAATCAAGTCGAAGCGCAGGAATCCGTGCAGGCTGTTGTGCCTGCCCCTGCTGATGTGCACCTTAACATGTTGTTCCCTGGCACTGCCATGATTAATGAGACGATTTCGCAGTGTCCCGGCTCACAAAGCACCTCAGCCACAATAGAGTTCACCCTTGACAGTGGGGCCACTCACACAGTTCTCAAGGAAGAGCACACCTTCAAGCCATACGAGACACCAATCTGTCTACAAGGAGCAGACTCCTGTTTCACAACACACGCCAAGGGCTCCTCCACAGTTCCGTGCCCAGCTTTCCCTTTGGGCAGTGTCACCGACATGTGTGTTCACACTACGCCACAATCTCGTGGCCCAACACGAGCTCCAATGGCCGGCGTCGCCACGATCTTCCCAGCACACT